TAATTAATAATCGCAATTACAATTTCAAGGGAATAATCGACAATTATGATTTTCGTCCTAGTTGAGCGTATTATCTCACGAGTCAGCGGTCTGAGTGGCCATATACTTTACAAACAAGTAAAATGTGTTTATATAATAACAACAACTTGGAAAACGGACAAAACAGAAAAGATAAGCATTATTTGAGAAAAGGGCATACTGATAATAATAATAATAATAATAGGCGCAGACCTGTAACGGAGCTAAGTTTACCCTGCGCTGATGTGATTCCCGATTTTTGTGAGAAAGGCTAATTGTGGCTGGTTTCGTGGCTGTGGTCCGCTGCAGTGATTGTGTTGCATTGGTTTCCAGTGGACGGTGTTCTGGCCTCAGGACCTCCCTTACGGCAGTCTGGGTCCTCTGGGCGCTCTGGCGAAGCATTTGGTGGACTATCATTATCCTGTGCTGTATTACGGGTGAGTGAGCGCCGGCATTCACACGCTGAGCTCAGAGCTGAAGCTGATGATGTTTGCTGTGTTTCAGATGGTTTCTGACGTGGGTCATCCATCTGTTCGAGGCTCTTTTTGCGCTGAAGGTCTGCAGGTAAGACACTGTGTTTTTAATGATAGTTTACAGTATCAGGGTGTTTCATCTTTTCTACCACAAGGTGGCAGTACACACCATCAGATGTGTGACTGATAATTCTGTGTGCATTGTCAACTTACTGTACTTATGGAATACTGGATTAAATGATAGAGGAAGCTTAAAGGAGTAGTTGAAAATGTGCTCACCTGAGGTGAAGAAACGAACTCATCCTAATCTGGGATGGTCTCAGGAGGACGTGTTCAGCTTTCATTTTTATCATAAATCCTTGAACCACTAATTTTCATGAACTTGAATTCAATTCAGGTTTATTTGTATAGCGCTTTTCATGATGCAAATCGTTGCAAAGCAGCTTTACAGAAAATTTAAGTTTCTATTTTAAAGTTTCTACATTATATTTAGTAGTGGCTTATCAGTGGTGACTGTCAAGTTGATGTCCATACGGCAGAAATGTACAGTAAAAATCATACAGTTAGTTAATGTCATGTAATCAAACAGACAGTTTGTGTGATTATGACGTGATTTACAGATCAAGAGTGTTTGGATGATGGAAAATAAACTGACTGATTTGACATGTTTATTTTGTGTCATCTGTCATTCGATGTACAGTCACATCATAAAATACTGTAATGCAGATATGAAGCTTCATTTGCAGTTTTGACAGGAACTCAACATTGCGTAAGCTGCGGATGAATGAATCTGATTCGCCCTTCAGACTGGATTCAAACACGCATACGGCAGAGAGAGAGAGATATTACACACCATCTGTGTGCTTTATTTAGAGCTATGGAAGGTAGCCAACATACTCATAATTCATAAAGAGAGAAGTTTTTATGTTAGCATATTTATCAGACAATAATTACACAGATTTGATTATGTAAAACCAACAATACTACAGCAGGGGGTGTCTTAATCACGCTGTACATAATTTTATTTTAATATAGGAAAATATAAATTAATTTGCTTCCTGCTAGCTAAATTTCACATACATGAACACAAATCTGGCTCTGAACCTGTCTTTTCTTTATTCAAAGTCGATCCAGACAAGTAGCCTACATGGAAACTAAACTTTTTTTTTTGTTGTTTTGATAAGTACTGCCATAATGGTTTGCTATTTTCTACTGTTTAATAAAAAAAAGAAAGAAGTCAGATAATATTCGCGATAAGCGCTCCAAGTCCCGATCTGAATCACAAGATTCACGAACCTGCTCCGGATTCATAAGAGCTTCGAAGTTCCTATCTGAATAAAAAAAAGTCCTGAACCCGTTCCGAAGTCCGGATCTAAATCAAATGATTCGCGATCGAAACAGTGAATCATTAACCCATACGTGTTTTTAAAAATCATTACAAGCGATGTTGAAATTCGAAAATGAATGGCTCTGTTGATCTGTTTGTTGCTAGTGAACCACTTGAACTGAATAATCGAATCACGAGTTTGAATCAATCGGAGCGGTTCCAGCGTAAACGACTCACTCAGTTGAATCGGTTCGTCTTTTCTCGTCTTCAGTCATGTTTACACTAGGGATGGGCGATACCCCTTATTTTGTTTTCGATACGATACCGATATTTTTCAAGGCAGCGACACTCAGCGCTACTACTGACTCAGCTCGCTAGTTTTATGACATTAACTGAAATTAGCGAAAAATTGTTTACAAATAAAATATCAATATTTCAATTCCAAAGATATCATCAACACAAATCTATGAACATATTGAGGTGAGGTAACCGGTTTACTGCTAACTAGTGAAACTCTCCTTTAATAACGAGCTGCAGCTCAAAACACATGTTAGATGGAAACAATGCGCATTATGATGGAGTTTGTAGCTTAATTCACTATATTTGAAATGGTTTGAGCTGCAGTTCAAACGCAGGTGTGCTAAATGCCTTTAATCATTTGAATGCATTATTTTTAATTGCACAAAAGTAACATGTTAAATTGACATCTCTAGTCTGAATGCAGACGGTTCCTGCTGGTGTTCATGTTGTTGTGATCAACGTGTTCTCAGCTAATAGACTTAGAGATTTAAACTCTAATCTCTCTCTCTCTCTCTCTCTCTCACTCACTCACTCACTCTCTCTCGGATTCTAGGTTGTAATGATGTGCAGATTCATGCACACATAACCTTATGATCTCTATAAAATACAGCAGTCAGAGTGTGATTATATAGAGGATGAGCCTTTATATCCATAAGCCAAATACAGCTGACATCAATACAGCTAGATTCCACATCACACATTCAGTGAGTTTAATAAATAATGTTATATACAGCACAACTTTCCTCCCATAAAGACAGACGTTCTTGATCATCCAATAATAATTAATCAATTCATGCTGGAATGACTGAGACATTTAATGCTGTGACTCAGAACATTTGAATTGAATTACAGTCTTAGATCTTTGGCGATCTTTACACTCGTTTGAATAGAAATAATGAAATCTGTGTTCCATGTGATATCAGTGACACTAAGAGTAATTATATGACGTTGTATTTTCGTCTAAATGCTCTATCTGTGTGTTTAATCAAACAACAGTGTCAGAAAAAAATTATTTGCATATTTTTTTGTCTTGTTTTCCAGTAGAAATATCTAAACATTTTTAAATCAAGATACAAAACGACTTAATATATTATACATACATTAGTTTATATATAAATTAACAAAAAAATATCTGCCAATGGGGAATGAAAAATAATCTCAATTCAAAGGAAAAGCAAGTTTATTGTTCTGACCCCACTGGCAGATGTTTATGTTTGCTTTCACTACATTTTGATACATTTTCAGAAAACAAGACTTAGTATCTTAAGTCTTTTTGTTTCTCAACTACATGTATCTTAATTTGAGGATATTTCGGTATTTTACTAAAAAACACGACAAAAATACTTTACATGTTTTGTAGTGTGTGTGTGTGTGTGTCTGTGAATGCGTGAGTCAGTGTGTGTGTGTGTGTGTGTGTGTGTGTGTGTGTGTGTGTGAGTGCGTGAGTGAGTGTGTGTGTGTGTGTGTGTACTGGTTTATATATCCTGGTGGGGACTTAAACCTGACTACACAC